ATACCAGTTTTCAAAAGAGGACAAGAGATTGGATAGATGCTTATAAAAAGTCCTCGGTTTTTCCTCAACATTGCTGTCTTCCTTAAGACGCAGAACTAGTATTTAGGACACGTTTCTGCAGCTCCTCAAAGAAAAGGAGATGTGTTTCTAAAGGAATTTAAAGATTGACATTGGGTTTGAATCCAGATACAGGTTAATTTAGACAGTAAATTCAAACATAAATTTGTACAAGGTCAAGATCAATCATGAATCATCCACAAGAAAGAAGCATGGAAGAAAAAAGTAAGTAATATCTATCTTCAAGTGAGTATCAGTATCAGTGATTTTCTTACTTTCACTCTTATCCAAATTAATTTCAGTGCTTAAGAAGAACAGGAAAACAGCACATAACATTTTAAGCAGACAGCCATGAAAACATGCCATATATATCATCTGCAATAATAAACCGCAATTAGGCAACACCGGAGTAAAACTCACACGGAAAGCAATGATTACTTTATAATACAACGTAGGCAAGGGTGGACGAAAGATTTGGTTCCATATATGAACAATTCAGTAAATACGGAAGGAAATTCATGGACCATTTTAGCAGGAAATAAGCTGGAAAAGGACCATTATCAGCTATGGCTATGCAAATAATCTGTAACCCACAACTAGCTGAAGACCCTTCCATTACAGATGGTCACAGTTTTACTGTAAGCCAGGAGTCAAAGTGCCAGACTAAGCAGAGTGAAAAAATGGAAGTAGAAGGTAAAGGCTTGAATATTCCTATGCCTACACACTTTTTCATTACATATTCTGCTGCATTCTGAGTACTGTGTAAACAATCCTGAAAGACTCAGAAAAAAGTAGGCCTATTTTACAATTAATCTGCTCTCTACAATTAACCTGAAAGTGTGCATAATTTTCACTATTTCACTATTGTCATAGTCAACACATGAGTCTGAAATAGCAACACTGCACAGGGAGAGCTCAGTTCCACCAAGTGTTGACATCCCTAAACTCAAATCAGCTTTTATTAGGCTTGGAGACACCCTGGAGACAGGAGAACCTAGGATCTTTCAGGAACTATCTGTGATAAGATATCGTTTCTTACCTTGCAGTATGATTGAAACTTTCCATAATAACTAAACAAAAGTGACTGTACTCACCTAAAAATAAGGGCTTCAAGACAACACAGGTCTCCAGCCTTACAGTAAAGACCGGGCAAAAGGATTTTTTGTCAAAAAGAAAAGATAGAAATAAAGATACCACACTAGAAGAGTAAGAAATATAAGAGAAAAATAAATATTTTGTGTTTCAAGCAACTACAAAGCAGTACTCTCCTTTAGAACAGTACAGCATATATAACTTCCTGAATAAATTACACAGTATACATTATCTCAGTTCCAAATTAACGCTTGCTATGGATTACACAGATGACAATAAAAATTAGCCGGACACAGTAACAGCACACTGTTAATTTAAGAATGCTACATAGCTAGAACAGCATTTAGCTTACAAACAAAGACTTCAAGCAGATTTGTACAATAAGATAACCTTAGCTTTCCTCTCAGAAAAGAGAAACATATGACAGATTATTACCTTTGTTGAAGTAGACAAGACAGTATATCTGTGTGGCAGAGCTGCAACAGCCTACCCATAATTAGATTTAAACATTTTGAATAGCAACACAGTATATATTTTTATACTAATTGTGCAAAGCCAGGGCACACCGTTTGGGTGCATAAACAAGATAAATATTAATTGTAATTAAAATAGCAGACAGAGCACAGAAAAGCACATGCCTTCTGTACATTTAGATCATTATGTAGAACAGTATAGAAGGCTATCAGTGTGCGATTCCGCTTCGGTTAAAGTCAACAGGGGCTTTCACATTAACTCCAGTGAGAACAGAATCAGACTTTCTGAAACACAGACATAGCCATAGTCCTTCCTCGATGGTATGTAACTCACTGACATGAACCGCTGTGCATAAAGGTCATTTGCTGGCTTGATCGTTAAACTCCTCTTTCAAAGGATCAACTCAAACATTTAAGAAAACGTTGCCTATTTTAAATCCTGTGCAGTGCAGTCACTGACAAACCAATCAGTTCATAAAATCTTTAACGCATGTAGAGCAGATTATTCTGCTAGATATTAAACTGAAATCAATTAATTTACATTCAGATCGCAGTGGAATTTAAGTAATAGGTCAGAGAGCCAGGTTTTTACTTGAAACAGCCATTGTAATACAAGATTTGTTTTCAGGCTTATGGCCAAAAATTATATTTGTACTGTAAGTATTTTCTCCTACTCTTTCACTAATGAAATAGCCCTTAACAACATGTTACAGCAACCTGCCTATTTTCTGCATTTACTTTGTTTAAACTATTTATTCCTTAGGCAGGGGAAAATGAGATCCAGCTAGAAATTTCCAAAGGAGTTTAAGGATTATCTTCAGCTGATTGCTTTATTTAAAGGTATACAGTGCTGCTACAAATCCATTTTAAGCCCAGAACTCTTCATTTCTCTGTCCCTCCCAAAAAAAACCCCAAATCACTATGGTACAGTTACTAATAGCAAATCATAACTGTTGAATAAGAACTTACTACAACAAAGTGCGCTTCCCAAGTTCTAGATGTGGTTCCAATTGTCAAACTGTAATTCTGTAACAGACATAAATCATCATAAAAAACCTCACTCATCAATAGGAAATCACATAGCTATGCAGAGAAGATGTAATTTTGTAATGTTCACACATTCTACACAGTTTACTACCCAATTAAACTCATTCCTTCTTTGAATGTTCGTTCTGATCCATGTTAGTTTGTTTTGTTAGTAAATCAAAAAGTGCAGCAAGACCCTCCTACGTAAAAAGAAATGCGGGTGCCATGCATGGAAACAAATCTCCCCCATCAAGTTCTGAAGTTGGAACATTTCTCACACAGTATATTTATTGGATTACTTTAAAGGATTAGACGTTTAGGAGAACTGATACAGTCTCTCTCACCTAAAGATTTTCTCAGAGTCAGCAGAGCTCATCTCTGTGCAGAAGGCCAGACTAAATGATTCCTTAAGCCGAGGAACTAGACTTCTGCAGAGAGCTGACTTTCACCAAACCTGAGGGGCTACCCCCAGAACAGAGCGGTCTGAAAGAGAACAGTATTGCCACTCGTTCTCCCTTAACCCTGCAGCTGTCCAGGGAAAAAGAAACCACAGAACAGAGGGCCGAATAACAAAGAAGATAAAACAGGCAACGTCCAATTCTGCACCGCTAACAGACCTATGAAGGAAATATACAAGGAAATACGAAATTCAGGGACTTCAGCTGCATTTGCAGCAGATCCCCAAATTATAAGCTAGAAATTCACTAAAAACCTCAGAATAAAAAAAAAGAGAGAAATACATAACTTGTGATATAATCAGAATAATCCAGAAAGCGATGCCTGTAACATTTTCAATAAAATATATCATCATCTAAAAATTTTCAGTAGACTAAAACAGATATGAGAAGGGTTGACTTGACCATTCAAAAATAGTCCTAAGTCAGTAAAAAATTAAATTCCTACATTCTCGGCTGGCTATAGTCAATAAAGAGGTGTACACATTTCAGTTGTTAAAAATACAAGTTTATAATGTTTATGGAGTTGAGCAGCATGTTTCTCCTAAAAAGATACCTCCCTTCAGCTTTTGGGATAAGAATTTCTAATTTTCACTATATAATTTCTTTTTTTTCCCCTCCTCCTACGCCACACGCTAGAGTGGGCGGGGGGGGGGGGGGGGGGAGCTTTATACTTTTGTGTAAACTCAGTTGGAAAAAAAAACAAATAAAATAATAAAATAATTTTGGAGAAAAGCCAGGCAACAAGCTATATGTCTAAAGAAGATAGCAAAGATCACCTCTGAGATTTGACAACCCTCTCTCCCTCACTCCATCCCTCTCTTTCTAGCCAAATGCTGCTCAGCCGAACTTAAGGATTTTGGAATCCCTCACCTCAGTGAGGGGCAGGTGGTTTCCTGAGGTCAGGCGTGCAAAGGAAAAGGGGGAGAAGACGCATACTAATCATAGATCAATACAAATGACGTAGAGAAACGGACTACTGAAGTTTTCATCGAAATCTCTCTCTTTCTTTGTAAATCTGACGGATTGGTTTTAACACGTTTTTTTTCTTGTTCTGGAGAGGTGGGAGGAGAAAAATACACTCATCTTTGCCCTTTGTCAGATCAGCAGTGCAGGTGGGAAAAAATCCAGAATTAAGAGCTCCCCCTCTGGAAAACATCCTTCTACCAGATTCAGTTAAGCTTTAATCAGAGACATAAGCATGCAAGCAGCATTTTGAAACCATTGGGAAAAAAAAAAAATGCAACAATGGTTCTTCCATAGCTTTTCCAGAAACCTTCTCATATCAAGATTTACAGGATATTTCTACAAGAACCTTGCTCAGCTCAAAATGGAAAACCAGTCCTTCATTGACTATTTCATTTGCAATTTTTATCCTTTTGTAAAGGATAAAAGCTTCGGATTTTTTCACCAAAATACCAGTAACGAAAGTAGTAACTCTTAAAATGCATAGTATTCATTGCATTAGACGTATTAAAAGCCAATGCATTATCAAATACTGCTTTGGGATGAATGCCATGTGTCTGCATAAAGAGATGTAATCACCTAGCTCGTGCCTTCCTAGTACCACTGAAATGGTTCTACTTTGCAACTAGGGAATAAACACCCCAAGAATTCCATTAATGATTTCCAGATGTTTATCAGTATGGCTACAACCCTGATGTATGATGAGGATCAATCACCAATGAATGAATCCATCTATCCAGTACTTTACTGAGTCTTAACCAGATCTATCCAACTACCTAGGCTTCCTATGAACACCCTTTAAATTCCTTCCATTTCTCCACCTCAACTTCTATCTAAGCACTGGTGTTTAGCCATCACAGGAATGAAATATGTTCATACACCAAGGAAAATTGGCTGGTATAGACATCAAAGGATTTTTCTCCTTTCTCCTTTTATGAACCCAAAGGCGGCATCCCATACAAAGCCCAGGCAGTCTTTTTTCTAGATTTACATTGTTTGGAAGGAAGGAGTATAGTTATAGGAGACAGTCATTTCTGGCTTGAGTCCACTCATACAACTTCGTTTTCTGACAGTCCCTGGGAAAATACATGAAGAGCTAACGCAAATTTTCTGTTGCTTCCTTCCACCAATCCTTTGAAAGCAGGATTTAAGCTGGGACACCCTCCAAATTCAGCGTGCTCAGCTTTCGCAGCAGGATTCCAGAGAAGTTTCCACAGAGGTGGAGAGACACGATGTGCTAGTGCTCCACGCTGTGCTCTTTAACTAACCCACTAGCTAATATCCGTCCTATTTTATTTCCCTTGGTCCAGTTAAAAAGCACGACAAGCTGATATCAGGAAGTATGTCCTTATACAGCATGAATTACTCTGAAATCTTCTGAGAAGCTGGATCTCACAAAACGTGACGACCTTGCTACTACTTTTCCGTTGTCCTACCGTGTTCAGAATGTGAACAAAAAAACTGTCCTGCAGTAAAATATCCTGCATGTTAAAAATTCACTAATCGATGCATTTTACAGAATGATATCCTGTCAACTTCTGACGAAAATCGTACTAGAAGAGTATTATATTACTATGTAATATATATTCCCCTATTATATTTCAAATTTTCTTCAAGCACATGATAGTCATAAGGAAGTCATGCCTGACTATGATAAACACTGATTTACACCTCATCACTGAAAGACTGTATCCATCTTTTTATTGAAAAATGTAATGTAGCTGCTACGGTGAGTGCTTTTATAAGCACATTATCTCTGTTAGAATGACCATTATGACACTACATTTAAACAAAAATTGCAGTAATGGAGTTCATTTTATGATACCTTCCTTATCCCTCATACTTCTCTTTTGTAGTTTAGCTTCCAAACAGTGGGCACCTAAATCCTAGTTTGTTTGGGTTTTTTAAGCAATTTTGAGGCTAAGCAAAGCTGCAACTGAATGACAATACATGTCTCAAACTTGAATGTGAATTAGCAAATATATCTGTTAGAATCTGTAGCTAAGTAACCTACCATTGGGCTCTGGAAGTAGCAACATATTTTAAAAGTTGAGGCACTTTCCCTGTCAAGTTACACTACCATTATTATACAGCAAAAAACAACAAAGACAAGCAAGAGTTCTTTCATAAATGATTACACAACTATTTAATGAAACTCCAATTTATTAATACGAGAACAGCAAATACATAAAGCTACACCACCCTAGAAGCTAGTGCAAGCCCCTGCTAGGTTTTGTTACAAAACCAGGATGTCCTTTCCCGTGAAGATGTTGCAGGCAGTGACTGCCCTTAAGTTATCTGATTTGCTGCACTGATAGCCAAAAAATACCATCTCTGTGCCCCCGATGGGCACAAAATATTGCAGTAGCTCTGCATTGTTTCTGTTGCCTTTATACCGTTATCTAAACTAGTCCCTTCGTGCCTTTTCTAATTTACTGAGATGCATCAGGCAACAGGCTGCCTCTTCAAGAGGCGCTCCACTCTGAGAGCGCTGGAGACAACCCAGCCAGCCAGGCAGGGTTTAAGCACTATACACAGGCAAAACATCGTATAGGGCTTATGATTACAGCAGAATATAGACTAGAGGCAGAAAACTGCACAAGGCTGGTCTTACTTAGCTATCGGAAGAGTTTCCAGGCTATAAAGTGTGTCAATTATGAAAGTGCTCTATTCTCCCTTCGGTCCGATCACAGTTAAGATTTAAAAATAGGTGTTTTCAAGCTGTCTGAAGGATCAAGTAACAGGCTTTGCGTTTTCAGCCCCATCAAAAGAAAATAAAATTATAAAACTTAAAAGTAATTTACTTGTAACATACGATAAAAAGTCTACCGAAGTTTTTTTTCATCTTAACAAGAAAAGACGCTAACCAGATAACTTGGACTAAAAGTCTGTCCTCGCTTTTCCATTTTACTAGCTTTTTGTTTTGTTTTGCTTTGCTTTGTTTATTCGTTCTTCTTCAGGAATGAGCTTAGCTTTGAACTCCATACCTATCAAATCCTCTTCCTCCCACTAAGGAAAAATGTTAATACTACTTTAAAAATTCACATTATGAATGCAAATATCTTCACACAGGAAAAGTTAGACCAAATGAAATACGCCTCTTTGTAAGGGAGATGGATGAATTTGGACACAATATAAAAAGATTAGGGTTCCTGGACCATGTTCCTCATTAGTTACCCCATCTCTTTACCTAAATTAGTGGTTTAGGAAAAAAAATCAAACCAGGTACCTCAATTAAACCAGAGCGCAAATTCTGGCACTTTTCTGATATGTCAATATTAAGTTCCCACTTCAGAGCTACAGAACTTTCTGCACACAGACAAGACCACTGTAGTTCAGAAATGAAGTCTAGAACAATATTAAATAGGAAAATATTATTCATTTGCCCTTAGAAGTTACTTATCTTGAGAATTTATTCTTTTGAGGAAATAAAGTATCCACGTGCACTCAATAGCAAAATTCCCACTGATGATGGATAAAAAGAACAAGGCCCTCATTAGTTCAAAATACAAACAGAAAATTGCTGTAATTTCATTTGCACATTAGCACCACGACAGGGACAGCCACCTCCACAAACTC